AAATCTTTAAAAACTTCATGACATTATAAAACAATGAAAAAATTCTAATATTTTACAATATTAAAAAAAATAATGATCAATATATTTAAATTAAAGAAAGTTTACAACAATAACGTTTTCTTCTCATCAAAGATATCGTAATTACTTTCCATATAATGTATTTTCTTCACAGTATAAATTCAAAAGTTAAGTGTTATTAAATTTCACTCCGATCGGATAGTTGAAGCGCGTCTGTGAAATTTTAGTGATGTTCTCCTTTATTAGCGAGGTCGAGCCTTGCGTTTACTCGCACTACTGCGCAGCCATCGTTTTCCAGAACGCAATTAATATTTCAGAATTCGATTAATCTTCGAAATGATATCTATCGATTGTAGAGGGATATAAGTTTAGTTTCAATTAAGTATCACGACACGTTGAAGAGATTTTCGAGGGGTTAAAAGAGCGGGGAAGGAAATTGATTCTAATTGCGGTCGTTCCAACATTCTTCCTCACGAATCTCTTGGATTTCTGCGGTCTGCTAGCAGGTCCACAGAGAATAATTTTCAATAACGAATCTTCCTCCACGAAATTTTCTCGTTCTATATTCCCAAGTTTTGACGACTTATCTTCAAACTTATATTATCGTTTGAATATTTTAGATGTATTTAAAGATTCTTTATTTTATTGCTGATTAGTTTGGGAAAATATTATTAAAAGATTTATTATTTTTTATCGAAGATAGATTTGCATTATTTCCTCGAGAGGGACAAAAGTTTTCGTACATTGACTTATATAGAAAATTCAAATTCTTTTCTAAACATAAACTTTTATTCAAAATTTTCAATATATATAAAATTTTTATCGTTGAAATATTTTTGAATGGAATTTCTTTTTTTAATCACTTTGTTATTGTATTTGTAACTTCATATATAAATTTTAATTTATAAATATAAAAAACGTATAAAAAATAATTTATACAAGAATTATAGTTTCTGGATATCTTTGGTATAATTACTTTTTCTCTAAATGGATATATAAAAGTCATAAAATAACCACTGATATTTTTATTAAATGGAATCATACAATTTTTAATTTCAAAAAAAATCTAAATTTAAAAAACAAAGATCACATGTTTTACAAAATAATTATTAATAATTTCAAATTACATTTTTTCCATTTAATTTCATTCAATTTAAATACTTTAAATTATTTTAATATTTTTCTATTCATCTGCATGTCAGTGCTGTTTAGTCACTAAAGCTTGTTCGCAGAAAAGAGCTCGTAAAGCTACAACGAAACTAGGATTTGAGACTTTAGACCTTACTAATCCTTGTTATATTGTCCATAATTATCCATCGTACAGGTAAGCGTTAAATGACAGCATTGTGCGCACTGGTTGAGAGAATTATGACACTTGGAAAATGACCAAAGACATAGTCTCTTATAATTTTCTCCAAGCAAAATTATGTTATTCTAAATTGAAAATTTTTCTTTGAGTTAAAAATAAATAATTTTGTTACACGTTATTTTTATATAAAAGCAAAATAACGTTCTTCATCCCCGTAATTTGTCTCGTTAATTTGTCCTCTCCAATTTTGTCCACGTATTTTTATTTATTTTTATGAAATGAAGCTTCCATCAACAATGGAATATTCTATAATTAAGATTTAGAAGAGTTAGTAGACAAATTTTACGAAGATTCTTTCATTTCTGTGAAAAGAAAATTCTTTTGGCAATAAAATAAAGATAAAAAGAAAAGACATATCTGAATTCAAATGGGTAAAAGTGGAAAACGTTACTGAACTGCAGACTTATCTTCTTCCCGATTCATTCTATTCCCTGTTGCACATTAAACATCGACACGTGTATAGGGAATTGGCTAAGCATCGATCGATTTCGACATGCAGGTGTGCAGCTTCATGCATATTTTCTAAAGAAAACAATACAATATTCTAGTGGAAGCAGCCAGAATGCGGATAAGTAGTTAGTTTTATTGCTTCTTGTTATTGCAAAAGGGAATCCTCGAGGCAGGTAAGATCATAGATATTGCAGGAAAAGTCTGGCTTTTCAGTGAAAGTACAATAAAAAGTAATAAATAACTAATATTCGGTGAAAATTTGTCAATATTTTAAAATATTATAACTTTCTGAGAGCAAGTTTAAAATTCATTTTAAAATCCTCATTTTTTTTTCTTTTTTCTATTTTCAGAAATGATTTATATCTGGTAGCAAATAGGAGAGTAAAGATATTTCTATTCTCGAAGATTCGTAAAATTCGACCGACTGTAAGGACAATTGATTGAGGTATTGTCTTTATGATTATTCTTAAAAACTTGATGTATAATTTGTTTGCCAAATTATTGAACTTTGAAAACAATCGAAAATAAAATGAAAATTTAAATTTCTTAAATTTTGATCATCTAATTCTAATACTTTTTTTATTTTATTATTAATTCTAATTTTATCCACAATGTATTACAAAAAATTAAATCAAATATTTTTCTACTTATTTTATCTAGTATTTTATCTAGTACAAAGTTAAATTTAAAAATATTTCTTGATATTCTCTTTTAACAATTGATCTTTTTGTAAAAAATTTTTCAATATTACTAACAATTTTATATTGAATTTTAAATCTGTATATGAGAAATAATTCATTAGAATTCATTTATTATATTTCTTTGCAAAATCATAGTTTTGTCTTTAAAAAAATCAAATTGTACATGAAAAAAAAAATTCTTAGAAAATCTCATTAAATAAACTTCAATAAATATTCCAGCAAATAATAATTATTTGTGAAATGAATAAAAATATATAATTTGTTATGGCAAACAGTAAAAAACCTTCGTTATTATTTACTTACAAGTTTTATTTTATTTAAATATTAAATTTTATCAGATATTTAAGATTCTGATAGATAGATAATTTTTAACTCATAATATATTTTTTTTAAATATTAATGAGCGATATTTTCATAATATTCTTTTAATAAAAAAACATTGAACGAACTTGTTTTTCGATCTAATATAATTTTTATTTCTATTTATTTCCCTTTTTTTTCCAATCTGCATAAAAAGTTTTCAAACATTAAAAACAATTACAGTATAATTATTTGTGCTTTCCCATTTACCTGCGTTTTTTGCATACATTCTCATCTGTTTTAATGTACATTTAGGTTTTAATTCAATTTCTATTCAAAATATATAATGACAGATTAAACGAAGAAAGAAAAATAATAGAGAAAAGTTGGAATTTTTTATTTATGATACACAATTTACGAATATCAGTTTCAAACTGTCTGAAGATAAATTTTAAATCAATTTAAAAATGAAATAATAACGGAATTAAATTTCGAATAAGTTATATAATCGATTGATAAAATTTGTATCAATTTTTATAAAACGATTTATGATTAAATTATCGTTTTATATTTTCTTCAATTACTGAAAAATTAATTTTTTTGAAAGCTAGATAAAAAAAAATTAAATATTTAAATTATTGATAATTTAATTTTTTATGTACGATTATATACATTTAATATTTTTAATAATTTTTTAAAGCTTTTATATTTTATCTGTATGAGTCATTACAATGATTTTTCTTCGAAATATCGAAAATATCAAATATTATTCCGAGAACCAATTTATTTTCATTAAAATTAAAATTAATTACGAGATAAATAATTAAGAGAATAATTAAAAGAATAAATAATTAAGAGATTAAAATACAGATTCAGATTGCATTACAATATAAAATATTAAATATATTATTAAATATATTAAGTTTCTGAAAAATTATAAAATTAATAAATCTAAACTCTTTATAAATTTTAAAATTCTCTAACTTTTCATAAATCTTAATAAGAAATCTTAAAAGAAAAAATTAAAGAATTTTTCGAAACATTATTCAAATTGTTTGAACATTTCTAACTGGCCATTAAATATTCCGCTGGTGCTATTTACTCCCTCCCTTTCTGTGAAAATTTGTCAGGTAAACACCTATTTGTCAGCACCGATACCCTTCCCCCAATACCTTAGGTACAAATAGATGTGTTACGGTGTTTAAGCCTCATTTAACATTTGATTTTCAACGCGTGAACATCGTGTCCTCTGTCTCAGTGTCTAACTCTATCCTATATTTTTCAAAATTTTTCAAATAGAATAAAATTTAATTTTTCATTTTTTGTGCGTGTAAAAAAGTTAAAATGTATATATATTTGGTGATATTTATTGTATACTAATTATTGTATACTAATTAGAAGAGTGGAAGTATTTAATAGATTATTTTTATCGAAAGTTTGAGTAACACAAGTGACAAAAAAAAAATGAAGAAAACTATTCTTCAGCGTATATTGAAGACAGACAACAAAGAAGAGGTTAGTTTTTCTAAATTATTTTTCTAAATTCTATATTTTTTTCTCTTATCTAATTTCTCTTATTAAAATCTTAGAAATGTAGATACATCATAGTAGATATATTTTTATAGATTCATTAAATTAAAATTTAAAAATTGTATTAAAATATTTTTCTCATAAATAATATACGATTTATTATTATTTGTAATTTATTATAATATGTAGGAAAAAAGAATTAAAATTTGCTGATTTAATTTTATTAATCTTTTTCATTTCTTTTACCAAATTTGAAATAAACTTACAATGAAACAATTATTATTTCAAATATATGTTTTCTACGTACATTTTTCAATTGAAAATAACGATTTGAAATAATTTATTTTATATTATCAATATCAAACAAAATTTGCCCAAATATAAATATTCTTAAATTCTTTAAACTCTTTAATTTCTTATTTCAATTTCAAATAAAAAAATATCCAAATTTCAAAGCATATTTTATTACACCGAATATAAAATAGAATCGAAATTTTGTCGCGCGGGAAGGAATTAACAAAAAAATTAGAAAGCAAATAACGTGAAAAATAAGAAACGCAAGTTTAAATTTGACGCTTATTTTCAAAAAATAACGAAAAGAATAAAGAAGAAAATTTTGATTTCTGCCGTAGCTGAACGAAGAGGACGGAAGTGTGAAGAGAGAGGAACAGAAGAGCGAAAGAGTAAGAAATTACTCAGGGGTAGCGGGGGGAAGTTGGATTAAGAAGCGTGGCAATTATTCGGCCCGCAATCCGATCGGCCCTATAAGGACGAATGCAATGAAAGCCGCGGACCGAAGCGGTCACAGCGACCCCTACAATATTTTTTCCCCTAGGAGCCCGCGGACAAATTTTGGATCATCGCCGACACATCCCGAGATGTTCGATTTGGAGACCATTATATGCGAGTTCGAGAAGGGTTTCCTCTCCCCATCGAAGCACGAAGGAAGGCCGATGGAAATAGGCAAGCAGAGGAACTTCGTCAAGAAGATCGTGGCGGCGTTCGAGGTAAAATACAAGGCGTGTAACGATCCGAGGGGCGGGCAGGAGGGGGCCGAGAGCAACCCGGACACCAGTTGCGGAGAGGCGGCGAGGAAGAGGTCGGAGATCTTTGAGCCAATCCCTTTCGACTCTGAAAATTTGCACGATGACTCGATGAGCGAGGGCGAGAAGAACGAATTTGAGAATCGTTCCGACAGCAATTCGATGGGGGAAACTTACGCCTGGCCTTCCGAAACCTATGCGTCCTCCGAGGAGGATGGGCATACGATCGATCTTCGAAAAGTCATTAAACGCGACGAGACGGAGGACGATCGTGAAAATGTGGAAGGATTGATGTGCTCGAACGGTTCCAGGAAATCGGCGATATTCTCGAGCGGGTTCGGCAAAGATTTGAAGAACGAAACGAGTGAAAATTTCTCTGATGCTTATCTGAGCTCGTTGAATCTCGACCGGCGAGGCTCGAACGACTCCGATTGCTCGAGCCTTTTCATATTCGACAAAGAGCAGTCCTGTCGAAGATCGAACTTCTACGCTGATTCGAAGGTGGCCGAGGTATCTCTCGATGACACGATGGAGGGCACGATCCTTGACTTGACCCTGCCCAATCCGGAACGGAGGGGCACTTCCTCGATGGAGAGCGGATTTCCTAAAAGCACGAGCACGATGATCAACGAATTTCCTAAGAAGGAGGAAGAGGAGGAGGAGGGGGAGGAGGAGGAGGAGGAGGAAGAGGAGGGTTCGAAGGAAGGCCAACAAATTTCGCGCAACGATAAGACCCCTAAGATAGTGGGGGCGTTCTTGAAGAGACCGATCGAAGTCGAGGACACCTCCATCGATTGGATACCTATCCCAGGGAAGAAATTACCGCGAAAAAAATCATTGAAAAAATTGCTATATTCGTTGACAGGTAAGAGGCTCGATAAAAAACGAAAATTGTTCTCGTCGGAGAGGAACTTGAACGAGGGGGAATATCAAGATTCCGGGTACGACGAGAGATCTTGCTCCTCTTCTTCCTTGACATCTTTGGCCTCCATCACGGACGTATTGGGCAAGGCTCAGCGAGAGAATAGCAGTTTGCTGGACTCGAACAGGGAGTTCACGTTCAATACATTCAAATCGAACAACTTGGCGTGCAAAGAGGAGAATGGAACGTTCTATCATTTGCAAGGGTGAGTTGATTGATATTTGTATGATATTGTTGTGATAATTCATAAAATGTTTTCTCTCTTCTTTTTTCTATGTTAAATACAACGTTGCAATTGGAGAATGAAAAAAATTCTGTATCTTTTATATATTTTTGCTTCGATCCAATCTTTGTCGATTATACATTCAATTTGATTTATATTCACTAAAACCTTCGCATTATATAACATAAACAATAAACATTATCGTGATGCTCAACTACTTTCGCAAGTAGAGAAAACTAGTAGAAAACACTATCAATCACGCGACATGAAAATCGATATGAAAACTTACTGTAGCATTTTCTATATAAGAAAACAAAAAAGATTTTATGAACTTTTTGTATATAAATTAAGAACAATTATGAATCCATTTTAAAGATCAAAACAAAGATAAAAATTGATTTATAAAAATATCGATTAAGATTTATTCATTAGTTCAAGTTATAATCAGTTAAAGTTTGTGTTAGACAAAATGATAAAATCTCACTTTATCTCTGTTATTCTATGTTCATTTGCTTTCATCTGATAGAAACTTCAATTTCATGTACTTTTATATTTGTTTTACAATTAATTCTTCAAATATTTTAATTAAAATATTCTGTATCAAATATTTTTCCATTTTGAAGAGAGCAAAAAAAGAAACAATTATACCAAAAACATCTGCAATTATCATTAAAATAATCATTCAAATTTACAGGGAGGAAAACGCAAAAAAGCTCATTTTAAACGAGGTACCCCGCGAGAGCTTGAGACTAGATCTGGGTCCATCCTATCCCCCTCTGAGTCTGATAACACAGATGGCATTGAAACCCAAAGCAACGAGATCCAATCCATCCAGCCCATCCCTCGTGAAAGGGACCCTGACCAAACTGCCCAAGCATCCACATCTCTCCAAGATACGGAAACACCCGTTCATTTCCTTGACAAAGATGGACAACAGCCAGGAATTCTGCAGCTCTTACATATATCAAACCGGCCAACACTCGTCCGTAATTATTAAAAACGACATGTACGAAGTGGAGATACGCAGGAGGAGCGAGGACATTCCCTGTCCTTTTTCGCATCATAGCTCCACGTCCGCGGCTACCCACCACTACGACGTCCCCAGAAAATTCTTGTCCAAATCTGAGACCGAGATCTGGGCTAAGTGTCAATGCTCGAGAAAGGAGGAGCCAATTTACGACGTTCCGAAGTTGCAAAATATCGAGAGATCTAAATCCAGTGATTACGAGGAAGTTCTTTCCTCTAAAAGGAAAAACGCTGTGGAGGATCGAGAAGAGTCGGGCGAGAATTATGCAACCGCCGATAATGCTAAGAATTGTCTCAACGACGAGATGCGATTTAACATATATGTAAACGAGAATTCCATTCAATTTTAATTTTGATTTTCGTTATATGTATCTTTTTGATGATATTGAATTTTAAAATAAAGAGAAAGGATATTCTCGAGGTTTAATTGTATAGCACACTATGCTTTTTGAAAATCTTTGAATTATATCTCCAGATTTTTAATATCGTTTTGATCATATTTTTATTGTTTGATTTGCGATCGATTTGCATGAATTATCTTTGAATTGGAGACAATTCGTAAATGTAATTTTTTTTAATTATTTATTTAATTAATTAATTATTAATTTATTATTTAAGAAATATTTAAAGCATTTGCATTAGTTGTGTGCATTATATTTTAATAATATTAATAATATTAATTTTTGAATTCTTCGATATAAATTATTTTTAAATTTTAATTTTTCGATCATTTTTTTATTAATCGACGCGTGATTAAATCCTTAATTGGAAATGACTATATATACTCGTATATTATAATTCTAATAGTATTAATATTTAGAGAATATCTGAGACGAATTATTGCTCCAGATCTTAATGCTTGGTTATATTTTTTTCTTTTTATTTTTTAATGAGATCGATGTGTGAGCATATCTAGAAATGACTCGTAAAAAGTAGAAATTTTTTTACAAATTGGTTATACTAATAATTAAAATTGTTAGCTTGTGATTCAAATTTTTGTTTTGAAATGAACGAATATTTGAGATACTCTCTGGATTAAAGTGATTTTTTAAAAATATTTTTAAAATTACTTAGATTATTTATCTGATCTGAAAAATCTGGTACATTTCATGAGAAATATGTCACGATGATTTTCGAAAATAAATTTTTTCTTATATATTAATTTTATATTTTAATTCGAAATCACAAATATCATAGGATATTTTAATATTTTAAAAATCTATTTTTATAAATGCGATAATAGAATCGATACTGGAAATTGTAAATTGGATGGAATTGTAAAAAGTGTATCAACAATCTTACCATTTCTAGTGGAAATGTTCCTGTAAACTTACATTTTGCTCAATGTCTTAGATTTTAGAACTTTTTTCCTTGTTCTCTCTAACCGAAAATATTAAAGCTTAGAATAATTCGCGTGGAACAATTAAGGAAGGAGAAAGAAAATACATAGTTTAGTATTTCTGTTAAGAAATATTTATAAAAGATTTAAACTATATATATTAATATATTTTGTGATGTTAGAATTTACCAGTATTGCAATGTCATAAAATAATTGTAAGTGAAAAAATAATATATACGTAGACCGAGATTTCGATAAATTGTACAAATTTGTTCATAGTGCAATTTACGATATATGTATAATACGTATATACTTGTATTTTTTTGTTTTTTTCAATAAAGATTCTTGCAATATTTTAAATCCGTTTTTATGTATATATACAAGCAAATATACAATTATTCACAAGATGTGCCAAAAAACATTAATTTAAAAAAATGTTAAGATAATTTTATAAAATTAAAATTGAAAAAGTGTGATATCTTGAATAATTTATTATCTTAATATTTGCTTATTTCAATAAAATTTTCAGAAGCAAAGGATAATGATAAGATAGATTCATTTAACATTTACAATATTTATCTATATTCTTAATACATCTGTATCTATATTTGATTCTTTGATAAAATAGTTAGCGATATATATTGTACCAATGTCAATATCAAAGCAATTATCTGTTTCTAGAGAACAGATATCCATTAAAGTGTCTTTAAAGTACTTTTTTCGTATTTCAATAAGTTGCAATTTTCAATGATTGATAATCAAATGTTTGAATTATAAAATCAATTAAGAAAAGGATAAATTCATTTGTAACTATTTTAAGAAAATTAAAAAGAAAAGTACTTACAAATTATTGTTTTCACTTAACATTAAAAAGAAATAATAAATAAAATACTATTCCAAGAAATTTATAGAATATAATTTAATATATTTATGAAACATTTTTGAAAAGTTGTCTATTATATTACTATTATTTTAAGTTGTATTTAGAGTTGTTATTTGGAATTTTGATTAGGGCTTGTTTATTAAATTGGCAATTTATATCAATGGTACGAAAAGATTACTTCTTCAGCAACTTTTAGTTAGTCGAACGAAGATGGTCTTTCATATCGTGAAAAAATGAGGGAAGGATCGAATAACATTGTGACAATATGGATCGTTTCATATGATGAACATTCGTAATTCTGTTGCAGTAAAGAAATCGCGGTTATAAGAGTGAATGGCTCGAGGCTCATAACGATAAAATCTTGGTGGAGAAGTAATGACGTAGAAGCTCGTATGCATTGTGTGACGTGGGTGATAAACGTGGGTGGATGATGGCAACCATTAACTATCCGTTGAAACGCAATGGAATGCACGTGGATTGTTCGATGGTGGGTGTAAATACGTGTCAAGGTTGGCAAATTTCGAAATCATCGTTGCTTTATACCTGTAATACAGAAAGAGATCAATGCCAAACATACGGAACTTGGAATTTTATTTAGAATTTTAGTCGACACGAAGATTTGATTCATGCGTCATAACAATGCAATGGTATTGAATTGTGTGCAAAATGAAACGTCAATCATTCGATTTGAAAAAGTTAAAAGAAGAAAATAAACAATTATGTCCAAAAGACATATATACTTACATATGTATGTATACTATAAATTTTAATTTAATTGTATCTCAAACTTATTCAAATCTATCTAAGAATAACATAGAATAATTTAAATTATTAATAAATTATTATTATAGTAGTATTTGAAATTAATGTTGTACTATTAATAATAAATGAAATTGAAGTATTAATCCTGACAATATCAAAGTTATTGAAATTAATAAAATTAATCACTCACAAATAATTATATAAATAATTTCAATTTGCAATTTAATTATTTTCCTTGTTTATCCATTTATCTACCTCAAAGACTTAGGAGAAATAATTTAAAATACTTTTAAGTATATTTTTGAAAAACATATTTGTATTTTCTTCCCATATAATTACCAAAAATATCTAATATAGGTTCAGTTAACATTGATCAAAAATAATCTAAATTTTGTCACGATGCATTTACAGTTTATACAGTCATGTAACCATAATACGTAGATTCACACGTAAATGTAGATTCACGAGCTTGTATTTGGAACATCTAGATAGCTCAATGATAATGCCGATAATTAGTCACTAATTACACATGTCGCACGCATGAAACAATGAAATATAATAACATTACAGTTTCTAAATAGATGCGTAATATTTAATATTTAATATTTTATACTTGTCTATTGCAACAATAACAAATTTAAAATTTATAATTTTTATAATTTTTATTGAGATTATTAGAGATTAAAATCATTTAATAGCAACTTTCCATTGATATACTTTTACTTTTTAAATGCATTTTTAAATTTCTGAAGATTTTAAAGATCTGAAATTCTTATACCACATTATAATAATTCAATATAATTTAAAATCATTTTTCTAAAATAATTTTTAAATTATTACTGTTGAATAATTGATACAATAAAATGTATAGGAATATTTATAATTTAAAGAAATTATTTCAAATAATTTTTTCTTTTGTAATATATTATTTATATGTTTCATCTTTGTATTTATATTTTGAATTTTTTCAAGTAGTATTAATAGTAATAATCCTCGTTATCAACAGTATTATTTCAGATAATATGTTAAATTTTGTATTTACATCGTCGTTGCAGCAAATATTCAAGAAGAATATCTTTTATCTTAATTCAATAGAATATTCAATTTGTAACAAATATAATATTCAGAGAAAAATTTATTTTCTTCCCCCAAGAAAAGAATATCGGCTCTTTATTAAAATTCCCTGTCTCTCGAGAGAAAAGTTTTCCTCTTTCAACCTTTTCAATTACAAGTTACACCTTAACGAACCTCGTCGCCAACTATTAATTAAATTGTAAACGCGCTTTGTCCATTTACAAGTGAAATTCTCGAGAATTGCTTTCGATCTCTTCTTGCTTACGATCGATGATAAATCAACGCGTCGATTTAACGAAAATTGCGATCATCCTTCGCATACGTATTGATATGAAATATGAATTACATCTGCTTTTGGCAGCCAATAAAATCGAATGAATCGGATCGTTTGCATTGCATCGCAATTGGATTACCAATTAATTATCGAACGACGTTTTCAAAGGGCCGTCCATGTCGATTCTCCCCGAGCAGAAGATACACCACCACCACACGAAACTGCTGCTGATCGACAATTTGCCTTTATTATATCTCTTGTTTATGCCTCCGAAATTCAAGCATAATTTGACGAGCGTTCACCCGTTCGTATCGATTCGATCACAAGTTAATTAAAGCGTCATTGCGATACATCCCTTTCTAATTTGTCCATCTATTTTCCTTGATCGATCGTGTTAATTCGCATTGACTTATAAACGGCGTGAAATGTTGATCGATCGTAATTATTTATATTATTTACGAAAAAAAAAATAACTTTAATCTCGATGATATTTTTGATAGATATTGTCAAGTTCTTTTTAAATTGTGAAGATTTTAATTGTTTTAATTACAGAGACTGAATGAATTTTTATTCAATTTTGATTCGAGATGAAATTAAACTTGGAATTAACATATAATAAATCAATCGATAAAGATTTATTTATATGTATCGAGTTTGGATAAAAAAAAATTTTAAACTGTTAACGATGATTCTGGAATAAAAATTCTCGCGACGTTATTTATATCTTAATATGTTAAAAAAAAAAAAAGAAAAGAATTATCGAGATTAAAGAATGGTATCTTATTGTAAATATTTAAAAGATTCGTTAGCCACTGGATTTCGAATAACAATTTTCTGTAAGGGAGAGAATTGTCTCGAGAAGACCCAAATCCCTGGAAGATTAAGATTTATGAAACACTAACCACCTAGGAAACGTACATCGAAATCCAGGCAACTCCTTCATCGGTTTAACCTTTGTTTCCACCAGGAAAGAGCAAACTTGTCCCCACAATGACGTGAGAACAATTTAAATCCTAGA